ACATTTCCTGAATGGCCAAGTCTTTAGTTTTTTTATAATTTGCTTTTATTCTACCTCAATGTAAAGGAGTAGAAAAATAATACAAGTTCTTACTTTGTAATATACAGTAACATATTGGCTACCATACATTTTGGTGTGTGTGTGTGTGTGTGTGTGCGTGTGTGTGTGTGTGCGTGTAACTAATGTTTTCAAATAAATACTTAAATGGCAGTTTTTTTTCTTCAAACATAAAACAGTAAATAAATAATATTTGGAAAACAATGATCTCTACTACTTACGATGCTACAAAGTCTTCATTTGCACTCATGAGTCATACTTGTTAAGCCTTGTCCATATTCACTTGTGGAGGTGGAAAAATAATTTTTGTAGACTTTATATAAGCATTTTGGAATACAAAAAATATAAATTAATTACAATCCCAACACCCCAAAAATTCACTGTAACTTATCAAGCTTCCTAACTAAATTGTACTTGGGTCTAAAAAAATTAATTTCTATTCACAAAATAGCATTGATAGCAATACTTCAAACTTTCAAATGATATAAGAGCATTTCTCTCGTACATAACTCAGAAGACTGACAGAATTATGTAGAATAAATATATAGCTTTTTATTGATTATAAAGTTATTCGTATATAAAAGTAAGTGTAGATAAACAAGTCTTCTCAAATGATGAAGTGGTAGATGGAGCCAATATGGTGGGTTCGCTTAATATCATGATATCTCAGCAAATAGGTAGGAGGTTCTTATTTTATATTCTAGCTTGCTAATATAGAACATTTGAGTTTCTAATTCGTACGAAACTACAAATGTCATAATGTGGGCAACGTAGTATGTAATCTGACCAAACCCAGAAGGTCACGTACCACGTAGCACACAAAAATCAATATTTAACCTTTTTTCTTTATATTTAGTTTCAAATTAAGAAACTAACTAATGTATAATACTAAAATTTGAATTATAATCTACAATTTGATACCAAACTTATTAACATATGTTTATAAAATAATAGCTAAATAAAATGTTGAATGTACATCTACAAATATAATTACATGCCCTCTGACCCCTACCCGTTTCGATAGGGTTAAACCACTTTACTATCAATACATGTCAATGAAATAAACATTAATAAGGTATTTTATAATTTTAATTTTTATGTTATCCAAGTTCTAATTACTTGGTTTCAAAGGAAACCTTTCAAAAAAATACTTAAAACTACAATTTATGTCACATGACACGTGCTTTGAAAAATCTCAACTTTAGCAGCAGTTCACTGTTAGAAACATAAGCTGGCAATGTACATGAGTTACATGATATCCAGTCTTACAACTGTATTCAGTAGGAAATATAAACAAGTTTTCCCACCCTTGACGGTTGCCACCGACCTTCTATATTTTGTCTTGAGATCTACAGCATACATGTAGATAGTTGACAGAAGTGTATATAGTCCTCAGAAAGAGCTCAGTTTACACTATACTCTACCAATAGTTAACTTAAAATTGGCACCCAGTTTTCCTCACAGTTTATGTGTAACTGCTGTTCGTATTATTGTCTGCTTTATCGACTATAACACTTGTGGTTTCTTCCATAAATATGGTATAGTTAAAGAGACAGTATTTAGATCTTCCTTTTTTTGTAGTTAATTATGTAGTGCTTGTGTTTTAAGAATCATATTTGAATAGTTTAATGATTTTTTATAAGCTTAATTTGTCACCTGGATTGTGAAAGGTTATAAATAAGACAGCATGTATAAGTGCCATCTTGTTTCAGCAAGATGTCTCTGCAGGGAGTCTACTGAAATACCTTCATAAAGCCCAGTGGCTATCAGTTGATGTATGGGCATAAATGATAATAGGCAAAGAATTTGAAAGAAAAATTAAAAGTAAACTTTACGTGAAAAGATAGATGTGAAACTATACACATAAGAAAAATACGACTATTCTAGTGGATTTCTACAAGAAGTTGAAAGGTATGTAAATATTTCCATTTGTTAATTTTAAACATTTCATTGCACTCTATGTTAATGATAATAGATAAAGTTGGTGATATAGCACAGAAAATGGAAAATAAATATTTACCTTAAAAAACTTTTGATATTCATTTATGAGGTTCTAGAGATTATACAAATGAAATGCAAAAACTTTATGATAAAAAAAAAGTATTTTTATAATTCATATTTCGAATGCACACAACTACATTAATTTTATTATTATTATTAGAAATAGTAGAACAAACCAAATTTAAATGTTTTATTTTTCTGAAGCTACATACTTCTAAGAACATTCTTCTCAAATTTTAAACAATTTCATGCACTAGTTTTCTTTTGGAAAGAAACATAAAAAACAGCAATATTAAATACAAAATAAATTAGTAACTGATAGTCACAGAGTTAACATCTATGATATCTCAAGGTGCAAATAATGGTCAAATACAATTATTGGCAGGATGATTAATTTACCTTTACAGCCATGATATCATAGTTCTCTCCAGCTTCTGCTATAATATCTCCTAAAACAAATATTGGACAAGCAGGATCAGTGTTGGAATGATAGTGACAACCAGACAGATAAGTTGTGTTAGTTGTGTCCAGAATATTGCTCCTAAAGTAATTAAAAAGGAAAGTATAAAGTTAATGAATAGTGTGTTAACTTGATTGCATGATTTGGAAGAAAAATGTTTTTAGCAGTAATACCGTTTTCTTATCTATAGTCCTAACTAACCCTTTCTAGACTAAGTTAGGGTCACTTATATTCCTTTATTTTTTTTTCTTCTTGCAATGGAAATGTTTAACTAAACTGCAACAACCTTAGCATCCACTTATTAAATCACATCTAGTTTTAGCCAAAAAAAAAAAAATTCATTCAATTCTATTTAGTATTTTAAATTATTTTTATATCATGAAATTTCAAAAATATTGTTGCAGGGTACTTCTTTGAAAAACAAACAAACAAAAGAAGACACTTCATCTCAGGATTTCTTTTTTTTTGTTGATCAAGTTCTATTTCATATATATCCAGTCAATTTCAACTTCACTGATTTTCATTTACACATTTCTTTTGATATTTTATTCTGTAGTCACTATTTAGAAATCAAAAACCACAAACTGACAAAGCTTTATTATTGATCTAACCTTTCAATAACTGTATCAAGACAGGTTAGGTAACAATGTTTTATTAAAATAAATTTATCTAATAAATGTACTGTTTTCGATTAACTAAATTATTTTATTTATGTGCATTGTTAAAATACAATAAACGTAATAATATTTCATCAATAAGGATTTGAGTAATTGAAATATTTTGCCGTCATTACCATACTCTCTAATCCTAATAAGGCTTATGTATTTTCATAGAAAAACATTTCCATAATTTTCAAACAATGTATAATCCAACAAAAATATTTTCAATAATGAAAAGAATGTCTCAAGAAAATAAAAAAAATCCCAAATCTGTAGTTTGTTCCAAAGTTTTCTAAAATTCACACTAAATTAACTTGTTCTTCTATGCAAGAGCTTGATCTAATAATTTCCTCACATAACCATAAATTACTTAACATTTTATTTACTTAGTTATTTTTCTATACTGAATGTATTTCCAATAGGTACTTAACCTCTACTCACATATAAAGCTATTTTCGTTCAGTGATGCTCTTTATATGCAAAGAGTTTTTTTCACATGCCACAAGCCTTGCAATTCCAAATAACCCACAATCATTATGGTTCAACTGCATCTAGCATGTAAATCATCATGCAACAACTCTCCACCAATAAGAGTGCAACACACCCTCCTGTTGCACGTGATTCCCTCTATTAGATTCTACTGAACTATCACTTCGAGTTTAGGCAGTATGCAGAAAAATAAGCACCAGTTTTAGGTGGGAAGGAATGGAGGGAAGCAAGAGAGGAGGTAAGTACCTATTGGAAATACATTTTCAGTATTGGAAAATTATAACTTCCAATTCAGTACATTATTTCCATTCACATATATGGCTATAATCCCTGTTTAAATTGGGAGAAGCACAACCAAAAGAGAGAAAAATGTAGGTATAGTAAGGCAGTGAAGAACCACATTGACATCCCAATTCAGAAGGACTGCCTGACAGGGAGGCCTGTGAATCTGGAAAAAGTGCAAGAAAAGAGAGAGGGGAGGTAAACACTAAATGGTATCAAGAAATACAGAAGGTGTGGAATAAGTTTGCTTGAAACCAACAATGGACAAGACTGAAGTCCTATGATCGAACATTAAAGTAAGGAAATACATAATAAGAGTAATAGTGGGTCAAGAAAGAGATAAACCCCAAATCAAACACCAGTGGTGGAAGATGTTCCATTTATTTATTTTTTTCAAAATGAAACCCAAGACTCGAGCACTTTTGAATAGTTGACTATTCTTCTTCAGGAGAATAAAGTTATGTTTAATCAGTGTGATGAAATATACAGGCTCGGATGTCAATATCAAGTAAACCGGATGTTCAATATGAGTTGGCCTTGAGAGCTAGCCAATCATAACCTAGAGTTGTTTGTGTCAGGGTTAGTTTTGT